AACAACACCCGTTGCGCGTTCACCATATAGATTAGCTCCTTTTGAATTAAAGGAGTTAATGTCGCAATTGAAAGAATTGTTGGATAAAGGTTTTATCCGACCAAGTACTTCTCCATGGGGTGCATCGGTGCTATTTGTAAAGAAGAAGGATGGATTAATGAGGATGTGCATTGATTACCGGGAGCTGAATAAACTGACAATAAAAAATAAGTATCATCTCCCAAGAATTGATGATTTGTTTGATCAGTTGGTTGGGGCTACTTATTTTTCCAAAATTGATTTACGGTCCGGTTATCATCAATTGAAGATTCGAAATGAAGATGTATCGAAAACATCATTTTGCACACGTTATGGTCATTACGAATTTCTGGTTATGCCATTTGGACTCACAAATGCGCCTGCAACTTTTATGGATATGATGAATAGGGTATGTCGTCCCTATCTTGATAAATTTGTGATCGTTTTCATGGATGATATTCTGATATACTCTCGGTCGGAGGAAGAGCATGCTCATCATTTGAGATTACTCTTGGAATTGCTGAAACAAGAGAGATTGTATGCCAAGATGTCAAAGTGTGAATTTTGGCTGCGAGAAGTTCAGTTTTTGGGGCATGTTATCTCAAAAGAAGGCATTAAAATGGATCATTTAAAGATTAAAGCCATTAAAAAATGGGAAGCCCCAAAGAGTCCAACTGAAACAGAAGTTTTATTGGATTGGCTGGGTATTATCGTAAGTTTATACAGGATTTATCATGTATAGCTATTGTGAAGTCTAGAAATCATACAAACATGATAAGATCTTCAAGAAATAAGATGAATAGAATAGTAGAGAGAAGATTATCAAAGATTGATTTGATTGAGAGAGAGAATATTACAGCTGAAATCTTGATTACAATCTGCTAATCACTTGGTAATGACAATTACAAGGAAATACTATTTATACTAGGAAATAGTAAAGCTACACTATTACAATATAGAACTACACTAAGGAGAAACTTGAATACAACTTTAACGCTCTTACTCAAACCCAACATTCTCCCCTTTGGATTCAAGTTTGGACTCTTGTAAATTTGGTCTTTCGAAGTCCAAGAACTTTCTCAAATCTTCTCAGAGCATTCCTGTATTGGATTTTCTCCTCGAGCAAATTTAGCGCGTTGACCAACAAATATCTTTCCTTGGAACTCATCCTTTCTGATTCAGCAGCTTTATCATTCATCACCCTTTTCAAGTCAAGTGCCCTTCTCACTAACCTTATCGTACCATCAAAATATTTATTCAGCTCGCTAAACATCATAAATTTCTTTACTTGAAGTTGAGCAAAGTAGATGACCCCGAACTCTGGACTTTCAAGAACCATATAGACTGGATAACCTTCAATATCTTCTAGTTCTTGATTTGGTCTTTTCAAATTGATGATCCGTTGATTATCTTCAAGACCCATTTGCACATCAATGACCATCGCCAGCTTTACATGACAACGCATAAACCTCTTGATAGCCTCAAGAGCAATCAATTCTCCTTCCTTTCTGTTCGTCATGTTTCTGAGTTCAAAGTACATATATTCAAGATCATCCAAATATAAGTTTGAAAAATCTGCTTCTGAACCTCCAAATCTGACCATCCTGCCTAGTGACTGTAAATACAGGATACCAGATTCTTAAAAGCTTCTGACCATCAATTTGTTTAATCGTTACAATCCGATGCTTGGTACGCACTTCACTTATTGGTAGGCACTTGGCTTTCAAAAGATGTCTGTATTCAATGCGGTAGTCTTTTGTCTGCTTAT